AGGGGGGGGGGGTGGCTCCACAACAGTTTTTGTCATGTGAAAGCTTTGGTGAAGGGGAGGTGCCCTCCTCAACCTTGCCTCTTGCTACATAAGGGAACACAAGAAAAGATCTGTCTCTGCCCTTCATGTGTTATAGCATGTGGGAGAGTGGGCCCTGCTATTTACCTGTGCTGTACAGTAGAGCTGGCCCTGGATGTGGGGGCTGCAGATGACCTGCCCAGAGGGCATGAGCACAGTAGGGCCATTCCTGCTTCTTGTCTGCTGGTTGGTGTTGCAAAGGACAGAGAGATGCCCTCCTCCCCTCTCTTGTTCTTCGACAATTATGAGAGGTAGAAGATCTGGTCCAGGATCATGAGAGCAGGAAAACTGACCATGACCCTCACCAACTGCAACTACTTTAAGAGAGAGGGCCCTGCATCTAGTGTTGGCAGCAGAGTAGAACTGAACCTGGTTCTGGGCTGCCAATGAGTAGGCCCAAGGTCAGAAAAGTGGGAGAGCCAATGGGATAACCAGCTAAGATAACCCTCAGGCACAGATTCAGGACTTTGAATTGGTCCACCCAACACTTACCTAACAGAAGAACTGCTGGATTGCATGAAAGGGCCAGTCTTACAGATGCAACACTACAGGATCTTCATGACACAGGGCAACGAAAGGGTATCTGAGAGGAGTCCAAGTGAGGATCCAGTGTGGGAGAGTAGCAAAAGCTAGAGGTTTCTTACCAGACTAGGAAGTCATTGAGATCAACATTTGCAAACAGGGGAGTGTGAACAAAAGGGTATACTGTGTGACACACTAAAGCTCCAACAAGATTTTATTCCAGTTGGGGGAAAGGTTGCAAGTGTGGAGGACAGGTCTGAGGAAAGAGAGATATGAGTGAGATTGGGTTACAAGATGTGAAATTCACAAAGGATCAATAAAAGTTTTTTGTTTTTTGTTTTTTTTTTTAAAAAAAGAAAAAACTCAAAGATGAATAATCTCAAAAAAGTTGTGAAGTCAGGTCACAAGATAACAAGGAACACAACTTATGAATGCATGTATTGCGTTGGTAATACATTTTTAAACATTGCTTCCTTGTGTTTGGTACCACATGCTTACAAAGAATGTTATTTCCTCATAGCGCCACATTGTCACCACATTGTAGATGAGTTAGTCATCCTCATAGAATATCAGATGGCAGACTACAGTTTGTGCAGTTTCAGTTTCTGTATATACTCTGCAGTGCACCACACATGAAAACACACATATATCTTCCACACCACACCACTCACACACCTGCACACACACACACTCAGAATCTGAGAGTGAGAAGAGAAGGAAAGAATACCAGAATATACATCTTGTATCAAGTCATACCTGATAACCAATGATGTTTACCTGCACAGCATTTCAGTGACACTCAGCTAGATGTCACTTAGTAAATGTCTGCATATAATCATAGTTGTATAAGAGCCTGTGTTGTCACTTGGGACTAGACAACAGGCTGATCACTCATCTTCTCAGACTGAGCAAGATCTCAGCTGGCACACATACACGAAGCAGCTCTGGGTAGCTTTTACTAGTATGACAGTCTAAGAGGTGGGTGATTATCACAAAGTCTATATTTGCTATGGATGTCATTTCACTTCCTCTGAGAAGTGAAGCACTCAAAAGGCCAACATATCAAGAGGCAAACACAGGACCCAACTGCATCACTCTCAAGACTAGGAACACCAAACACAGATAATGACGTCAGTATAAAATTCTAAACTGTGCTGAACATTTTCTCTCAAAATTACTCTCGACAGTTTTGCATGTGTTTATGTTGTTACTGTTGTAAAACACATGGCAAGATCTTAATATTTCAGCTGACTGTATAAAAGAAAAGTGTGTAGAGAAGATGCACTGTGTAGGCTTCTTCCACATGGATGTGATTGCAGTGATATATAGACTTAACAGCTTCCCCATCAACTATTTTACACAGAGCCCATGATAGTGCACAGGCAATGGCTGCTCCTGAGGGCATGTGATATAAAAAGAAACTAGATTAAGAGAGGTTTGGATATCAATTTTAGTATACCATGTCAATAGTGAGGACCCAGATGAGCTTAGGTGTCTGTGTCAGAGAGGAGGTTTCTATCTATTGGTATATTGGAATTCATCTGGATGGTTGTACTGGCCTTATTTAACACTTCCCAGTGAGAAAGGTAACACCAGAGCCCTGTTGATGTGTGTGAGATATTCTGTCAACCAGTGCTCTTTTGAATGAGGAGCAAGGACCCTTAATTACCTCAAGCTGCAGGATCAGCGAAGATTTGGCTCTTAACAACTCATGTCCTCTTGAATGAGGTTTCTCTTTTGACATCTCTTAGATGTAAGCTAAAAATGGTGAATAATGAGAAGGTCTTTTTCCTGTTGAGAATTCATGAAGCCCTGTGATGGAGTTTTATTTTCCCTGAGGTACACTTTTATAACTTGAAAGCAGAAGGCCTCTGAGCATTGAGAGTGGGAGTCCTTTATAATTTCACCTTCATTGTTCAGGGAAATGGCTCCATAAACCTTCTCAGTATTGGTTGGGTTATAGAAGGGATTGGACTGAGCAATCCCAGTGGCAAAGCAGAGTATTCAATATTTGTGCCCTGAGCTGCAGGTAGAAAAATAATGGGAAGAAGCTGAGAAGACATATATTTAGGACTTTGCCTTCCATTTTCAGAGACAGAAAGATGTCCCACTTCTGTGGAAAAAAAATGGGTACATCAAGATGGCATTTATTAAAATGTTACCCTTGCAGATAGACGTTTGACATTGTGAGACATTGTCATCAGTTTGTGACCTGCATACACCTTCAACCTTTAGCCTTCACATAAAACATTGTGTTACACCAGAGCAGAGAATGGCTTTGACATCCCTCTCTCCCACAACTTTGCATCATCCATCAATATATGTATTAATATAGGTGGTGTTAGACCCTGGTTTATGTCACCCTTTTTTGAATTCTGGTTGGAATTTAACTAATGATTGACACATATATACCTACCTGCACAAACACAAATACATCTTCAGTCTCTTCTTAAAAGAACCTAAACATTTCCTGATAAAAAGCTGGGATACAAAGAAAATAAACTGTAATTAATAAAACAATAAATAAAATTTAAAAAAGAAATAGAATTTAGTAATGATCATATATGGATTCCCCAATCTGAGGTGAGAAGCAGGACATTTCCAATAGGAATATTCTGCACTGATGGGTGAGTCATCATTATTTTTGCTAACCAAAACATCGACCTTACTATCTAACTCCTTTTTAAAGAGAGAACCTGGTGTTTAAGGATATTAGTCCTGCTCCTGTGTCTCCCTTAGTAGCCACTAAGTGAGCAAAATTGATTGTAGGTTTTATGTTATTTGTTATCTTAGAGTTTTGGATATTACAATGAAATAAGGCCTTGCCATGATATGTATATGTGGAGATGAACCCTCAGTAACCTCTTTTGCATCCCACAACTTTACATATCCTGAGACTAAGGACAGACAAAAGGAGCCATTGAGACTTTAAAAAAATTATTTATTTTTTTATAAATTACAGTTTTTCACTTTTTAATTCTTTATTAATTATACTTTATTCACTTTGTATCCCCCCTGTAGTTCCCTCCCTGCTCCCCTTCCAAATCCCTCCCTTCCTTCCCCTTCTGCATGCATGCCCCTCCCCAAGTCCACTGATAAGGGAGGTTTTCTTTTCCTTCCTTCTGATCCTAGTCTATTAGGTCTCATCAGGAGTGGCTGCATTGTCTTCCTCTGTGGCATGGTAAAGCTGCTCCCTCCCCCCAGGGGGAGGTGATTAAAGAGCAGGCCAATCAGTTCATGTCAGAGACAGTCCCTGTTTCCATTGCTATGGAACCCATTTGGACACTGAACTGCCAGGGGCTACATCTGTCCATGAATGGCCCTTGGTTGGAGTATGAGTCTCAGGAAAGACCCCTGTGCTCAGATTTTTTGGTTCTGTTGCTCTCCTTGTGGAGTTCCTGTCCTCTCCAGATCCTACTATTTTCCACTTCTTTCATAAGATTCCCTGAACTCTGCCCAAGGTTTGGCCATAAGTCTCAGCATCTGCTTTGATAGTCTGCAGGGCAGAGCCTTTCAGAGGCCCTCTGTGGCAGGCTCCTGATTTGTTCCCTGTTTTCTCCTTTTTCTGATGTCCATCCTCTTTGCCTTTCTGGATAGGGATTGAGCATTTTAGCAAGAGTCCTTATCAGAATGGCTAAGATCAAACACTCAAGTGACAACGCATGCTGGAGAGGTTGTGGAGAAAGGGGAACCCTCCTCCACTGCTGGTGGGAATGGAAACTTGTACAACAACTCTGGAAATCAATCTGGAGCTTCCTGAGACAACTAGGAATAGTGCTTCCTCAAGATCCAGCTATACCACTCCTAGGCATATATCCAAAAGAGGCCCAAGTACACAATAAGGACATCTGCTCAACCATGTTTGTAGCAGCTTTATTTGTAATAGCCAGAAGCTGGAAACAACCCAGATGCCCCTCAACTGAAGAATGGATACAGAAATTGTGGTACATCTACACAATGGAATATTACTCAGCAATGAAAAACAAGGAAATCATTAAATTTGCAGGTAAATGGTGGGAACTAGAAAAGATCATCCTGAGTGAGCTATCCCAGGAGCAGAAAGACACAAATGGTATATACTCACTCATATATACATTTAATATAAGATAAAGCTACAAAAATCTGTACACCTAAAGAAACTAATCAAGAGGCAGTTTTTCACTTTTTATCCAAGCTGTAGCCCCCTCTATAATCCCCTCCCAATCCCACTCTTCCTCCCTCATCTCCTGCCATGCTCCCCCAAAGCTTGCTCATTTCTTGCACAATAAAGTCTCAATAGAGAAGGACCATTGAGACATTTTGTTGAGCAAAGAATGAGCAAGCGTATGTGGGCAATGCACTGGAGCATTGCAGAGAAGGAGAAAGGTGCAGCTGCATGGGAGTGATCATATAATACATGCTTAGCAGTCTAATCTACTGTGGACATCGTTGCTGGTAATCTGAAATGCAGTAATCAAGGAGAGATCATCTATTTGCACCATGAGATACTCCAAGAGAGGTCTGCAACCTGCACAGAACCACTTGCCACAAACTTAAAATCTGTGGCATTTGAAGCCTTTCAGGGACATATGATTCTTCCAGGGTGGAAACTCGACCTGGAATATGCAGCTTTCTCTCTGCAAAATTAAAAAGAGAGGGTTGATCAGTGCTGGATAAAGCTAAGAGGAGAATTTGAAGCCATAGCCTTTGAGGGGAGTGGAATTAAGCAGTTAAGACACAAACTCAAATCTCTGCCAAGTCCAATGTCTCTCAGCCTGATTTAGAAGTATCTGCTAATCTACAACACAGTGCAGTCCATCCACCATTTGGCATCTGTCTACCTCTTAGGGTCTTATCTCTTTGTCAAAACATTCCCTTAAGGAACAGTACATGGCTCATTCAAGGATCTCAGAAGTCAGGACAGCAGGATAGATTCAGTACACTGGACCTTCTCACTCCAGCATCAGGGACAGCACTGAAGAATCAGGGACGAACACAGACATTCTGGAAAGCTATACAGCAGGTAAAGGTGCACGAAGAGGATTTGCCACTCAACAAAGAGCCACGGCATCTCCAGAGTACCTCTATCAAGGGAAAGCCTGGTGTTTGAGGGCAAGGAGCAACACTGAATTTCTCATTTCCTTTCAGGGTGGTCTTGATAGAAGCTCTGTTTGGGAGTGTAAAGATCTCTTCCCATCAAGGAAACCTATTGCTTCCTCCTCCAATCTAATCAGGCAAAAACCTGGTGGTCTCTGAGTACATAATTCTCACTTTTAGCCTATGGAACAACTAAAATTAATGTATGCAGAGATATCATTTCTTCCAGTGCTATGCTAGACATACTCGCAACACTTTATGTATTTATTCTTCACACACTACATTAACCTTACACATACACGTATATCCATGTCTCCAAAGTGTCAAGTATCACTTATGTAACTTTCCATAAGGAAAGACCCATATATTGCCCAATACACTTATACACTTATGTGCATTCAAACACACGCACACAAACACTTACTTCTTTCATATATGTAAACACCCACATATGTGTGGCCATGATCCCAAAATGTGTTTTCAATAAACTCACAAGCTTGTATATCCCTTTACTTGCACAAAATATCTCTGGCATATTCTATGTGAATACCTTTTTCTGATCAGCCTCCTCATTGAAGGGACAGTTGGTCAAGTCATACTGGGACTTCATACATGTGGTTTGGGCTAGGATCACACCAAAGAAGTATATTTCAGCACCAACCTAAAGCAAAAAGAAGATTCACTTAGATTGAATTTTACATGCATTTATTTTACATGCCAGTAAGTGAGACAGAGCACAAAAGGTACAATTTTCCAAATACTTTGGAAAAGTAGGTAGGTATGAGGACTCAGCCAGTTTGTTGTAAATAAGAAGTTTTCTGTTCAGCAATGCAGGGGTGTTCAGAGTACAGGTGATGTCGGGACTAAAGCACAGGGCTAACTTGAGGCTGGAGCTCACATAGGAAGAAGAAGCTCTGTTCTAGTGTGTGCAGTAAGGGAGCTCATGACTAAACTTTAGCTGAATCCCAATCAGTGTAGATAGTTCCTAATGAAACAAGGGTCCAAAGACCTTTTTTCTTTAAGTAACCCTACCACCTAACTCACATCACTAATTGTTAATGACATCATGTTTAAGATTAATCCATTGATTAGGTCAATGCACTCATAATACTCATATCCAATCATGTCTGTAAATGCCATCATATACGCACATAGGAAGATTTTCTTAATAATCCCTTATCCATTTGTCATTCATTTTGATAATCTAGGTGACACAACCAAGGTTTCTTTTTCCACTAACTCATGCACCTTACTTAAGTAGAGCACAGGCTAGCAAGGATATAGGAAAGCAGGAAGGTAACCCTGTGTTCAGCTAAAATGCAGCAGCTAGGGAAACTTGGTTATTCTTTACATCCTTGATATTCAAGAAAAGCAGAGAAGAGTTCTACGCTGACTCAACATAGCACACTGCTGTGTTTGTGTTCCTGTTAGTAACACCATCACGTGCTTGTGACAAGCTCTCTACTGAGAGGATTACATTCGGAACACTTCGATAGGATGAAGGACTGCTGGTCTAAATGTCATCCTTGCTTTAATGTTGACCTTGTGGCCTAGAAGCCTCTAGTACAGGCTCTTGGCTCTTAATTTTTCTTTCAATAGTCTCCTTTACTTGTTGAAAACCAACTCCATGCTGCTATGTCTAGGTAGGGTTCCCAGTGATCCTCTATTCAAAGTTTGGAAGGATTAAACAGGCTACCTCCCAAGAATTACATCTCGAGGAAGTAACGATATGTTGAAGCAATTCCAGGGAAACCCCAGGATCACAATGCAAAGTGAATCCAAGATCCTCAAGAGATGTGGTAATCCTTACTACACAAGAAGACTCAGGTGGGTACCTAGGTAGGCATGTGTATTCAACCTGAGGAAACATTGGATTAAACAGAGTAATATTTAGTCTATATAGACATCTGTTATGAAAGATTTAAAAAAGCCTGTTTTGACAAATGTGTTTATATGAGATTTCACAGTGGAGGATCATCACATCTATTCTTCCATTAAATAGCTACAACGTCCCTAGGTTGTATCATAGTAAGGGACCACTATCTTCATGCACTGGTAAATAGGAGCTTATCATCACTGCTGGGTGCAACGCATACAACACTTAGGTCTCCAAAAGTAGGAGAGTCAGCTCAGACAACAGTAGACAGTTAGGAAAGGAAGTCATTCTGATAGTGGCTACCAGTGGAACTATGCAAACTGAGTGACTCTGAACATGAGAAAACTGAGTGACCCTTGTTTCTTGATTTATCTTATAAAACCTTACAAATGTATAAAATGACATTTTTTTTTGGTCTGTTAAGAAATGTACACCAAACAATTTCCAACAAGAATTTGGAAAACCACTCACCCAGATATGCATGGCCTTAGGGAAAAGGAGGAAGATGGAAGAAACAGACAAATGTAGCATTAAAGGGAGACCTGACAGATTGACAGGGAGGCTCTTTGCTGTAGTTTTGACTGCTCTTGATATTTTCCCCAAAACAGAATAAGAATTAAATGAAGGACACTAAAAACAAATCATGCAGGGAAAGTAGTTGTGGTGGAGATTTATATTTTTTATGGTCACCTAATTTCTGTATACATTGCCTCCAGCATGCAGAAGCCTAATGATAGGAAATTCATCTTAGAGGACCCTGAGGTGAAGCCTCTGTCATGGAGTTGCTGGGACGTTTAGCAAGAAACAGACATCCACCCACTGGCAGCATATCTCTTAAGTTTCTAAATAGTGTAACAGAGGTTATTTTAGTTGGAGAAAGACGAGCTGCAATAGCTTCTAGACTGCAGAAAATATCTGAGGCAAAGACCTAATTAGCTGCAAGGACATGTGAAGACTGCCATTATGTCCACCTCAAATCACTAGTTGCCGAACACACTGACTGAGAAAGGAGTAGAGAGCAGCAAGGAGGAATGAATGCAAGATGTACTAAGGAGATATGTATTGCCCTGTGAATGGCAAATTCAGGCTTCCTCAATTGAGGGTCACATACCGTTTTTCGTATAAATACTGTTTCCACAACATGACTCAGGTACAAATCACTGTATTTTTCATTGTACTTGTTGACAGCAAAGCTCAGCATTTCTGTGACCCCTTTCTTCTTCCTACTGACATTATGTGTGTCACTAAATAACTGACCTAGCACAGCGTTCAGATTCAGGTTCAGAACCACCATGAGGGTGGTCAGCAGGAGTGTCTGAGCATGAAGCAGGCAGGCCATGGTCTGTACTGAATTTGACTTAATTCCAAGGATGGATGTGGAGCTGCAGTGATCCTAAGATCAGGCAGTGAGCACATCCTGGCAGCGTGCTGCTGTTTTATCCTACACTCTTAGTTTGTATAGGCTTCTTGCCAGAACTCTATTTCTTTCACTCTCCCTGCTCCTTTTTCTGTTCCTGCCCTCTGTAGTTCCTCACTCTTCACATTGCTCCTACAAGACTTTTCAAAGGGTGAAATTTCTGAAACAACCTTTAACTTAGACAATGGCAGGTTGATTTCTTTTCATGACCAATGAACACTAGTCATTACATTCAGTAAAAGATGCTTCTTCAAGGTTGTTGTCTGGATGACCTTCTAACTTGGTTAGATAGCTTTTAAAATAAAGCTCAACACCATATGTCCTATAATTTGCACATGTTCCATTTAAGATGAATCAGAGATGGGAAAAAATCAACAGGCTTGGAGAGATAGCTCAGAGATCAACAGTACTTGATCATCTTCCTAAAAACATAAAATCAGTTTCCAGCACCAAAGTCAGGCAGCTGACAAACTTTTATATGTACAGATAAGATGATTATGGTCTCTAAGGTCACATGTACTCTCCTGAATATAAACTCTCTCTCTCTCCCTCTCTCTCATATAATAGAAAAGAAGAAAAATTAATCTTAACAAAACAAGAAAATTTATGCAAGAGTTTTTTGACATGTGAATCAAATTCTTAGAATTGCCCTCATATTTTAGCTAAGTAAAACAATATCATGATTGCTGAATTTCCTGAGATTGTGATGGTGATAATTTTGTGATTTTGCTTCATGTAGATTAAATCTGGCATACAGATAAGAGCTACAAAGTAAAAACCAAAGTGGTGGCAAAATTCATATACAAATCTAGAGGTACTTACTGCATTAAGATCAGAAAAGTGTGGATTTAGAACAGACACAATAATATCCCTGAGAGCTATTTCTTGAGATATTTTTCCTTGCTAACATGAATAAAGTAGAAAACTACTGGGGTCTGAGCTCATAGTATGCCTTGATGAGGCTCTACACCATTCTTTATATAACAAGTAATTAATATCATTTATTACAATCTCAGAAGGCTTTTCTTTTGAATCATCATCTTTAAATGGTATTTTATAAACTTCCTTAATATATATGGTAGTAGGTGAGTGATTTAACTCATCACAAAATATGCTCCACAACAACAAAAAAACTTTAAATGATAAAAACTAAAACCTGAATTAAAAAAACCTACAAATATCATACAAAATGTGCTGAACTTCCCTTTGAGTTTTCCTGCTCATTGCTGTTCTTAAATTTTTTTCCTTTTTTTTAATCTTTTTTATTTTTTATTAATTACAGTTTATTCACTTTGTATCCCCTCATAAGCCCCTCCCTCTTTCCCTCCCAGCTCCACCCTCCCTTCCCCTTCTTCTTGCTTGCCCCTCCCAAGTCCACTGATAGGGTGGTCCTCCTCTCCTTCCTTCTGATCTTAGTCTATCAGATCCCATCAGGAATGGCTGCATTGTCATCTTCTGTGGCCTGGCAGGGCACTTCTCCCCTCAGGGGGAGGTGATCAAAGAACAGGCCTATCAGATTACGTCAGAGGCAGTCACTCTTCCCATTACTATGGAACCCACTTGGATACTGAACTATCATGTGCTACATCTGTGCAGGGGTTCTAGGTTATCTCCATGCATGCTCCTTGGTTGGAATATGAGTCCCTGGGGAGAGCCCTGTGTTCAAATTTTCTGGTTCTGTTGCTCTCCTTGTGGGGTTCCTATCCTCTCCAGATCTTACTATTTCCCACTTCTTACTTAAGATTCCATGCACTTTGCCCATCAGTTGGCCTTAAGTCTCAGTGGCTGCTTTGATAGTCTGTAGGGAAGTGCCTTTCAGAGGCCCTCTGTGGCAGGTTCCTAGGTTGTTTTCTGTTTTCTTCTTCTTCTGATGTCCATCCTCTTTGCCTTTCAGGATGGGGACTGAGTGTTTTAGTCAGGGTCCGCTCTCTTGATTAGTTTCTTTAGATGTTCAGGGTTTTAGTAGGTTTATCCTATGTTATATGTCTGTATGAGTGAGTATGTACCGTGTGTGTCTTTCTGCTTCTGGGACAGCTCACTCAAGATGATCCTTTCCAAGTCCCACCATTTACCTGCAAATTTAATGATTTCATTATTTTTCATTGCAGAGTAATACTCCATTGTGTAGATGTACCACAATTTCTGCATCCATTCTTCAGTTGAGGGGCATCTGGGTTGTTTCCAACTTCTGGCTATTACAAATAAAGCTGCTACAAACATGGTTGAGCAAATGTCTTTATTGTGTACTTGAGCCCCTTTTGGATATATGCCTAGGAGTGTTATGGCCGGATCTTGAGGAAGTGCTATTCCTATTTGTCTGAGAAAGCGCCAGATTGATTTCCAGAGTGGTTGTACAAGTTTACATTCCCACCAGCAGTGGAGGAGGGTTGTTCTCTCAACACTCAAGTTTCAGCTTTAGTTATATTTTCTTTTTTAAAACCTAGCAAAACCACAACTGTTTCTTAAATTGCAGTCTTGATTTCCTTCTTTTTAATAGCTAAATAGTATTCTACTGTGTAGATGTGCCACAATTTTAGTATCCAGTCCACTGTTGAGGGACATGTAGGTTGTTTCCAGATTATTTCAAGTAAGGCTTCTATGAACATAGTTAAACAAATGTCCTAATTGAATAATGGGACAACTTTTGTGTGTATTCCCAGGAGTGCTATAGCTCAATCTTAAGGCTGTTCTATTCCCAATTTTCTAAGAAAATGAGGAAATCATGAATTTGCAGGCAAATGGATGGAACTAGAAGAGAGCATCTTGAGTGAGGTAACCCAGAAACAGAAAGACAGGCATGGTATATATTCACTAATAAGTAGATATTACCCATATAATAGAAGATATCAGAAGATGGAAAGATCTCCCATGTTCCTGGATAGGTAGGGTTAACATAAGAAAAATGCCCATCCTACCAAAAGCAGTCTGCAGATTCAATACAATTCCCATCAAAATACCAGCATAATTCTTTACAGACCTTGAAAGAACAATTCTCAAATTCACAGGGAAAAAAACAAACAAACAAATAAATTAAAAAAACCAAACAAACAGAAGAGCTAAAACAATCCTCTACAATAAAAGATCTGTAGGTATATCCATCCCTGATCTCAAGCTGTACTATAGAGTAACAGTAGTAAGAACTTCATGGTGCTGGTGCAGAAACAGAATGGTGGATCAATAGAATTGAATTGAGGACCCAGAAATAAGCCTACATACCTACAAACGCCTGATTTTTTACAAAGAAGCCAAAACAATACAGTGGAGAAAAGGTAGTATCTTTAAAACAAATGGTGCTGGTCTAACTGTATGTCTATATGTAAAACATGCAAATAGATATGTATCTATCATCTTGCACAAAATTAAAGTCATTGGTACCGGAGACAACTTCCTGAACAGAACACCCACAGCACAGGCTCTAAGATCGATCAACAATTAATAAATGGGACCTGGTGGAAATGAAAAGCTTCTGTAAAGCCAAGGACACTGTCAAAAGAACACAACAACAGCCTACAGAGTGGAAATTGTTCTTCACCAACCCTACATCTGACAGAAGGCTAATATCCAAAATATACAGAGAATGAAGAAATTAAGTAACAACAAATCAAATAATCCAATTAAAGAATGGAGTACAGAGCTAAAATAATAATTCTCAACAGAGGAATACACAATGGTGGAGAAACACTTAAAGAAATGTTCAAAATCCTTAGTCATCAGGGAAATGCAATTCAAAACGACTCTGAGATTCCATTTACTGCAATCAGAATGGCTAAGACAAAAAATCCAAGTGACAACACATGCTGGAGAGGATGTGGAAAAAGGGGAACCCTTCCTCATTGCTGGTAAGAGTGCGAAATTGTGCAACCACTGTGGAATTCAATCTGGCACTTTCTTAGAAAATTGGAAATAGTGCTAACTCAAGAACCAGCTAGCTATTCCACTCCTGGGCATATACCCAAAAGATGCTCCACCATTCAACAAGGAGACATTTACTCAGCTGTATTCATAGCAGCTTTATTCAAAATACCAGAATCTGGAAACAACCTAGATGTTCCTCAGCCTAAGAATGGAGACAGAAATTGTGGCACATTTACACAATGTAATACTACTCAGCTATTAAAAACAAGGAAATCATGAAATTTGCAGGCAAATGGATAGAACTAGAAAAGATCCTGAGTGAAGTAACCCAGAACCAGAAAGACAGGCATGGTATATACTCATTTTTAGGTGGACATTGGCTATATAATATAGGATAACCACATTAAAAGCTACAGAAGCTAAACAACAAGGAGCACCAGAGGGAGGATGCTTAATTCTGATTCAGAATCTCAACCAGGATAGATACTGGAAGTTGTGCAAGAAGGAGAACAGGACAGGAGCCTACCATAGATGTCCTCTGAAAGGCTCCACCCAACAGGGAGTTGAAGCAGAGACTCACAGGCAAACTTTAGGCAGAGGTCAGGGAGTCTGAGGCAAGAAAGGTGGGACAGAAATACCCAGAGGGGACAGGAAGCTCCACAAGTAGACCAACAGAGCCAAAAATCTGAGCCCAGGGCATTCTGCAGAGACTCAGGCACTAACTAAGAACCATGCATGAAGAGGACTTAAGCTCCCTGCTCAGATGTAGTCCATAGGCTGCTCAGTCTCCATGTGGGTGACCAAGCAAGGGGAGCAGGGGCTGTCTCTACCATGTACTGGGTTGTCTGCTCTTTGATCACTTGCCCCTGGCTTTGTGGACTAGCCAGGCCACAGAGGCTGAGGATCCAGGCAGTCCTGATGAGCCTTGATATGCTAGGGTCAGATGGCATGGAGGAAGGTCTCCTGCTTTCAGTGGACTAGAGGAAGGCTAAAGGGAGGGAGAGAGGGAACAATGGAGGGACCAGGAGGATATGAGGGCTTGGACTGCAGCCAGGATATAAAGTTAA